CCTAGCGGCATGCTCTGGGAATGGCTAGTAATGCCACAAGGGCTTAGTAATGCCCCTGCCACGTTTAACAGATGTGTATCACATCTGTTGAGACCAGTACGAGAATTCGCGCCGAGTTATTTCGATGACGTATTCATCCATAGTCGAGCTATGGATGGAAAGTCGGACGTTGAGGTTCACAGGTACCACGTCCGACAGGTTCTTACAATCATGCGAAAGCATCAATTGTATGCAAACCTCAAGAAGTGTATATTTGCAGCAAGCGAAATACCACTTCTTGGGTGCATCGTTGGTAAGAACGGTGTACGTCCTGATCCCGAAAAGATCAAGGCGATCACCGACTGGCCTGTGCCAGTCGATGTCAAAGGTCTTCGAAAATTCCTTGGGCTAGCGGCGTATTTGCACAAGTATTCACGCAATTACGCCGAAATGACTGTGCACCTCTCTCGTTTGTTGAAAAAGAACGAGAGGTGGTTATGGAACGCTGAATGTCAGCGCTCCTTTGAGGGTATCAAGAAGAGCTTGATACAATCCCCAGTCCTAGCAATTGCCGATCAGGACAGGCCATTTCATGTGGTCTGTGATGCCAGCGATTTCGCAATCGGCTGTGCATTAATGCAGTACGACCTTGAAGGCGTTGAACGCGTCGTCTGCTATCAGTCGCGTCAGCTGCAACCAGCTGAGCGGAACTACCCAGTGCATGACAAGGAACTCCTTGCCATGAAGTATGCACTCGCGAAGTTCAGAGTCTATCTATTAGGAGATAGACCCTTCATTGTTTATACTGACCATGCGTCATTACGCACGGCAGTGAACAGCCCGCACCTTTCGCAACGAATGGCGCGGTGGATGTCATTCTTTGCGGAATACAACTTTACGGCTGAGTACAAACCAGGACGACTTAATGTCGTCGCTGATGCACTCTCACGTCGTCCCGACTTTGAAACAGTCGCGAAACCCAACAGTGAGGCAGTCACTGTTGCGGTCATGACGTCCTCAGTCCCATCTACAACGTTGTATGATGATGTGAGGCGGGCATATGCCCAAGATGGTGAGATTGTGAAGTTGTTGACACATCTCCCACAGCCATCTCGAGAATCGTTGAAACGATTGTCGTCTGCGTATCGATCTGCATCAGATCGATACACTACTCGCAACGGGTTACTGTATTATACAGCCGTTTCTGGTGACACACCACGTGTTGTCATTTCAGATGATACTGATCTGCGTTTGCGGATCATGTTCGAGTATCACTATGCTCCTATAGGAGGACATCGTGGCCGGGAGAAAACATATCTCATGGTGAGTCGAGACTTTTACTGGCCCCGCCAGTATCAGTTTGTGCGCAAGTACATTCGAGCATGCGAAGTCTGTCAACGAGTATAGTCAAGTCCTTCACTGCGTGCACCTTTACAGCCTCTACCGGTTCCGGCTGAGTGCTGGGAATCCATCTCAATGGATTTCGTCTTCGGGTTACCCAAAGACGCACGCGGGAATACGGGTATTCTCGTCTTTGTTGACAGATTCAGCAAAATGGTACACCTTGTGGCTGTACCAGAGTCAATCACGGCAAGTGGCTGTGCTTGTGTCTTTATTGACACCATCTTCCGACTTCATGGGTTGCCCCGTGAACTCGTATCAGACAGAGATCCACGATTCACTGCTGATTTCTGGCGTTCCGTGTTCAAATCACTCGGAACGCGCTTGAAGATGTCAACATCTGATCATCCAGAGTCAGATGGTCAGACGGAACGTGCCAATCGTGTCCTCGAAGAGATACTTCGAGGATACGTACACTCCTTTAAGAGTTGGAGTGAGTTCTTGCCAATGGTAGAGTTTGCCATTAACAACTCGGTGCATGCGTCCACGACACATACACCGTTTTACGTGAATGGCTTACGCCATCCGCGTGTACCCACCTTACTAGAGTGTGACTCTGGTTTAAGGGGGGAGGGACTCGCGCGAGCAAAAAACGATTTGGTTCACGCTCATCACGCTCTGACGAAGAGGTCATTGCGTTTGATGCCGATATCGATAACATCGATATCGAAGAAGATGATGCCAGTGAGAGTGCGGAAGCCCTCACTGAAGAAAAGGTTGATGTTGCTGCAGTGCGCTCAAAGCGCACTGAAGCCAACGAGTCAGCAGATGAGTTCATACTGGCTCGTGAAACGGTAGTCCGTTTTGTGCAAGATTCCATAGCCGAAGCGGTGGATAAGCAAAAGCAAAACGCTGACAAGAATGGAAGGGCAAACACTCTTTTATTCAATAAGGGTGACTTAGTCCTACTGTCTACGGTTAATCTACCAAAGCATGTAGTGACTAACATTGGGTAGCAGTAAACTACTACCCAGGTACATTGGCCCAATTCGTGTATTGCACCGCCTAGGCAATGCATACACGATCGAGTTACCACGTAAGATGCGAACGCATCCCACGTTTTACGTTGGTCGGCTTAAGCCGTACCACCAGTACGCTGCTTCTTCCGATGAAGAACGCCCTTGCGCTCAAGCATCTCGCAGAGAGCCTTGTGCTCCCGATGGTGGGCATCAACAAGGGTCTGAAGAGCAGCTATCTCATCCCGAGACCGATCAACAATCCCACGAGCTACCCTTAGCTCGTCACGAAGAGATGTCAGAGATCTCTCGTTCTCAAGATGAGCAAAGGCAAACTCAGCTCGATGCTTCGAGGCAGTGTCCGCCATTTGGAGACGCCTATTCCGCTCATGTTCGAGATCGTCGCGTAACCCTTGCGTTACGCGATCAAAGAAGCTCTCGGGAACACACCGATCCACATGATCGTGTGGAGAGCGTCTTTCCTCCTCCTCCACCTCCATTAGAGGACGCTCGCGGTGGCCAGCGCTATCTAGTTGAGCAGCTGTTGAACCACCGCGACGTGAACGGACGTCGGACGAGTTATCTCGTTCGGTGGCGCGGCTATCCCCCGTCCTGGGATTCTTGGGAGCCCCGCTCCCAACTGATAATCGACGTACTGGGTCTGGTTGAGCAGTACGACGCGGCACATCCTGTGCCGCAGAAGGACCGCCGGATAAAGTCTTCCCGGCACGGTCGTAAAGGGATTTCAAGTTGTCAATCCCTTCGTACATCTCAGTAGAGACACGTACGCGCCACCACGGGCTAGTAAGGAGGTAAGCCTCCTTAGGTGCTCGTGCAGAGTTGTTCACACAACATGGGCACGAGTCTCCCCAAGAGAGGCAGAGTAATCCTTTCTCCCTTGATAGACGATGCAGCTTATAGCGTGCACCTGTTGGGGTTCGCTTTTCAAACTTATCACGAGCTTTGATAAGTTTGTCGTTCCAAGCGTCACGACCTACATCCTCGAGGTTATGGATGTAGGCGTTCCACGCTTGAAGCAGTGAGGGACCATCACGTTTGTGATTCCCACTGTACCATCGATGTTTGAAGAAAGCATCGATGAAGAATTCATGTTCAGCGCGATAGTTTTTCGCACTGGGGTCAAGGTGATGGATCCTTGACGAATCGAACAACCGTGTTCGATAACGATCACTCGTCGTCGCCGACAAGTGATCCATGACGGATTTAGGAGGCATCCATGCCTTCTTCTCAGGAGCGAGACGCAACACATTGCGGTCCCGCTCTTCCTGCGACGTGCCGACAGAAGTACTGGCACCTCGCTGTGAAGTGGTGTCCATAGGAGAACCGACACCACTGTTAGCGCCCGAGTCTCGCGACCTCGAGCGCCTTCGCTTCGGCGATGGTTCATCTGATTCATCAGATGAACCAAAGATGCTGCGACGCAAAGCATCGTCCATGCCACGCTTGGCAGGCGGCTTGGATTCGATCGCCGTCGATACGGATCCGTCTTCCGTATCAGGAGAGTACGAGACACCGAGCTTGTACTCTGTGAAGACATGAGTGTCTTCATGACCAGCGCCTGCATCACCAAGTGACACAGGCTGAGTCGCTTAACCGATGAGACATCAGTTGCTGTGGTTTCTGCTTCGGCGTCCGCACAGAGACGTGCGGACGCGCTCTCGGCGGCCTTGCTCGCGCATCGCATGGGCTTGTTAACCATGCGATGAAATGTTGGAAAGTGGACTCGGACCAACAAGTGCAAACCCTGTCCCAAATGGTTAAGGAAGGGTGATGTAACGGGGTGAATCGTTACATAACAATTTATTAGAAATTGTTAATAGAATATAACTATAAGAGTTATATTCTCAGAATATTGTCATAAGGACAAATATTCTGTAGCACTTACGAGTAGTTCCTAATTGGTTGATATAGGCCATTATATCAACCAACGAAGACGCGCCACGACAGACGCACGCAATGAGTGGTGAGCAGATAACTGATTTACACATTTGTATTTAGACATAGTTAGATGAAGATAAATAGTGATTTATTGCAGACATTAACTATTATAAATACAGTTCTACTTTTTACTTTAACCAAGTACCCGCTTCTTCTTACCGTCTTCCTCTGCACGTACGAGTGTACGTGAAGTCACGAGGCACCGCCTTATTCTGTCATCAGAATAAGTAGCTTGTACTGTCATCAGTACAAGCTTCAGGGTGCCCCGTTACATGTGGCGCTTGTAGCATTATAATGTTCTTATGATTGGGAGCACCAAAAAGTGTTTTCTACACTAAATTGGTTATTGGCTGGTGCTGATTCTGGGACTGGTGCTAATAATGAGACTTTTGACCCAGGATGGTGCTGATAGCGAGATTTACTCTTCTCGGAAAGTAGACCGTCATGATTCGGCATACAGAATGTATGGATAACGTAAATTTAATGATAAGGCGCTCTTTTCCTAAGCATTGACTGCAGCCGCTCTTTTTCCGGAACGAACTGGCTATTCGGAAACGATCGCTCCTTTCTATCAACAAGTCGATCGGTCCTCGAAACCAACGGCTCTCTCTCCCTCACTCCCTCTCTCTCTCTCTCTTTCGTTATTTGAACTGACTCGATCCCAATAGTCAGCGTGCACTCAGCATTATCCCCGTTCTAAGGAAGATGCGACAACACGCCTTTCTCTTGACCGCCTCTTTGCTCTCTTTGTGCGATGGCAGCAGCAGCAGCAACAGCTTTATCGAGTTTCGCTCAGTGAACGGGCAACTGGAGGCGAACAACCAGTCGTTCTACATCAAAGGCATCAACTGGTTTGGTGGTGGTACGTCGTTTGGTTTTGTATGAAGTGGCCATCGATACATTCACGGAGCACTTACTTGAAAATGAATGCTTTCTTGCGTGCTTTGGTTCTCGTTTTTCTGTATTACGGCATGAGTTAGAAACTATCGAACGGGTGGTCCAAGGGTTATGGCCCTCTGCCACGTCGATTGGGGATGCCATGGACCTGTTTGCCAGCTCGGATATCAACGCGCTGCGTCTGCCATTAGCCATGGATTCGGTGATGAAGGATCCTGTGGTCGCAACGTCGCAGACGGAGGGCACGCCAGCACTGGCTGGAAAGACGTACTTAGAGGTGCTTGATAGCATCGTGCGAGAAGCACGCGACCGCAACATCCTCATCATGTTCGACAGTCATCGGATTGAAGCGGCTGAAGCGAATTTTCCAGATATTGCAGTGCCAAGTGATATTGTGCCGGCTCTGGAGAAGCTGGCAACGAGATACTGTGACGACCCTGGGGCTTGGAATGTCTTTGCGATTGACATTAAGAACGAACCAAAGGGCAAAGCGTCGTGGGGAAAAGGCGATCAGGGCACGGACTGGAACTTGCACGCCGCGAAGATTGGCAACGCAGTGTTGAAAGCGTGTCCTCGGCTTTTGGTTTTTGTGCAGGGAGTGCAGACGAATGTGAAAGGGGTAAGCTTAGAGTGGGGACAAGCAGGAGGGTCGTTACAAGGAGCAAAGAACTTCCCCGTCAAGTTGAGCAACATGGAGAGATTGGTGTACAGTCCGCACTTGATTTCACCGGCGATTGACTTCAAGGCACCGTGGTGGAGCGACTCAAGCTTTCCGGACAACATGCCTGACCTATGGGATTCGTATTTCGGCTTCATTCCCAAGGAAACGGGTCAAGCGGTTGTTGTAGGGTCTTGGGGAGCTCAAATGAAGGATAAGGACGAGAAATGGGCAAACGCGGTTTCCGCCTACTTAGAGAAAAACGCGATAGGGTCGTTCTACTGGGCTTTCAATCCTCAGTCTGCTGACATTGGTGGCTTTGTGAAGGACGATTGGGTCACACCAGTCGACGAGCGCGTGGCATTGCTGAAGAAACTGCCGGCGATCAGTGTTGACAAAATTGTGGCCGTCTACGCAAAATGTAGCGGGGGCTGCATTGGAAACGGTGACTGCAAAGATGGGAAATGCATTTGCTACGCTGGCTGGAGTGGGCCTCAGTGTGAGATTTGCCCTGAGGGTGATACGTTAGCATGTAACGACATGGGGACTTGTCTGAGAAACAGTACGTGCGCATGCGATGACGATGTAGACGGGAAGTATTGTGCTGGCGCCGAGTGCGATGAGGTTGACTGCGGCAGTGGACCTAATGCCGACTGCTTCAATGGTATGTGCACTTGCATCTATAACTGCGCTGGAAGTTCCTGTGCTATCTGTGCGGCAAACGAATCTGCGCTGGTTAGTGCTGTTAATGGAGCGACGGTTCTCTGTGACGCTTGTGACGCGAATGAAGATTCTTCTGCATCGGCCATCTCTGTCTCGACGCTCGGAGCTGCTATGAGTTTTTTCTGCTTTGCTTATTTTCATTGATCCGTACGGGTGCAGATGCTGTCGTGCCTGATGCAGCAAACGCAGTATTATCTTAAGCCTAACACAGGGGTGGTACTGAAGATTGTTAGCAATATTTTTTAAACAAAGATTTCTACAGCATTTGTAGTTGTGAGCATGACTGAACTATTTTACGATTTTCTGCGTCAAATGTAGAGCAATAGTTATGCTGGGAAATTGACGCACAACTAGTCTTGTACTTGAGTCTAATTTCGGCTGATTATGGCTATTAGAAGTTTTCGTTGCATGATTTTTTGTTACGAATTTAAATTCTTTCTTGATCAAAAGCAATTTGGCCGTGGCCCACGTTAAATTTCTTTTTTAGCTATTTGCACCCAATAGCATGCGACTTATCCGGACATTGTACACTTACAAGTGTTAAGTTGGAGTTCTAAATAGTGTGGTAAGCACATTTGTAAGTTCAAGTCTAATTGTGCGCATCGTTGACTAGATGTGCAACTGCGTTTATACGAAAAGGCTCTGTCAATTCTAATTGGTTTAAATAATTGTACCAGGTAAAGAGGTTGAGCACTTAAACTTACAAGTATGGTTTTATTAGATTCCGATGGCACTATTTTTGTGTTGGTACAAACACAAATGCTTGTGTTAATAGAGTGCGTGAAGTTGTATGATTACAAGCTCAAGTGCTTGAATTAGTAGAGTGGTACGATTTCATACATGAGTCCTTGTAGATGAGTGTGTATAAATTGTACTCGAGTCCTGGTGACAGAAGATATGGTCACCCTTGATTGTTGTCCACCTCCAATGCATACTTCTAGGAATAAAGGGAGTAGATCCTCCTTTCCTTCTCGTCCTGCCCTTCTCTTTCCTTGTGATGTCGTAGAATGGGGGGGGGGGGGGGGGGGGGGGGGGGGGGGGGGGGGGGGGGGGGGGGGGGGGGGGGGGGGGGGGGGGGGGGGGGGGGGGGGGGGGGGGGGGGGGGGGGGGGGGGGGGGGGGGGGGGGGGGGGGGGGGGGGGGGGGGGGGGGGGGGGGGGGGGGGGGGGGGGGGGGGGGGGGGGGGGGGGGGGGGGGGGGGGGGGGGGGGGGGGGGGGGGGGGGGGGGGGGGGGGGGGGGGGGGGGGGGGGGGGGGGGGGGGGGGGGGGGGGGGGGGGGGGGGGGGGGGGGGGGGGGGGGGGGGGGGGGGGGGGGGGGGGGGGGGGGGGGGGGGGGGGGGGGGGGGGGGGGGGGGGGGGGGGGGGGGGGGGGGGGGGGGGGGGGGGGGGGGGGGGGGGGGGGGGGGGGGGGGGGGGGGGGGGGGGGGGGGGGGGGGGGGGGGGGGGGGGGGGGGGGGGGGGGGGGGGGGGGGGGGGGGGGGGGGGGGGGGGGGGGGGGGGGGGGGGGGGGGGGGGGGGGGGGGGGGGGGGGGGGGGGGGGGGGGGGGGGGGGGGGGGGGGGGGGGGGGGGGGGGGGGGGGGGGGGGGGGGGGGGGGGGGGGGGGGGGGGGGGGGGGGGGGGGGGGGGGGGGGGGGGGGGGGGGGGGGGGGGGGGGGGGGGGGGGGGGGGGGGGGGGGGGGGGGGGGGGGGGGGGGGGGGGGGGGGGGGGGGGGGGGGGGGGGGGGGGGGGGGGGGGGGGGGGGGGGGGGGGGGGGGGGGGGGGGGGGGGGGGGGGGGGGGGGGGGGGGGGGGGGGGGGGGGGGGGGGGGGGGGGGGGGGGGGGGGGGGGGGGGGGGGGGGGGGGGGGGGGGGGGGGGGGGGGGGGGGGGGGGGGGGGGGGGGGGGGGGGGGGGGGGGGGGGGGGGGGGGGGGGGGGGGGGGGGGGGGGGGGGGGGGGGGGGGGGGGGGGGGGGGGGGGGGGGGGGGGGGGGGGGGGGGGGGGGGGGGGGGGGGGGGGGGGGGGGGGGGGGGGGGGGGGGGGGGGGGGGGGGGGGGGGGGGGGGGGGGGGGGGGGGGGGGGGGGGGGGGGGGGGGGGGGGGGGGGGGGGGGGGGGGGGGGGGGGGGGGGGGGGGGGGGGGGGGGGGGGGGGGGGGGGGGGGGGGGGGGGGGGGGGGGGGGGGGGGGGGGGGGGGGGGGGGGGGGGGGGGGGGGGGGGGGGGGGGGGGGGGGGGGGGGGGGGGGGGGGGGGGGGGGGGGGCGGGGGGGGGGGGGGGGGGGGGGGGGGGGGGGGGGGGGGGGGGGGGGGGGGGGGGGGGGGGGGGGGGGGGGGGGGGGGGGGGGGGGGGGGGGGGGGGGGGGGGGGGGGGGGGGGGGGGGGGGGGGGGGGGGGGGGGGGGGGGGGGGGGGGGGGGGGGGGGGGGGGGGGGGGGGGGGGGGGGGGGGGGGGGGGGGGGGGGGGGGGGGGGGGGGGGGGGGGGGGGGGGGGGGGGGGGGGGGGGGGGGGGGGGGGGGGGGGGGGGGGGGGGGGGGGGGGGGGGGGGGGGGGGGGGGGGGGGGGGGGGGGGGGGGGGGGGGGGGGGGGGGGGGGGGGGGGGGGGGGGGGGGGGGGGGGGGGGGGGGGGGGGGGGGGGGGGGGGGGGGGGGGGGGGGGGGGGGGGGGGGGGGGGGGGGGGGGGGGGGGGGGGGGGGGGGGGGGGGGGGGGGGGGGGGGGGGGGGGGGGGGGGGGGCGCGGGGGGGGGGGGGGGGGGGGGGGGGGGGGGGGGGGGGGGGGGGGGGGGGGGGGGGGGGGGGGGGGGGGGGGGGGGGGGGGGGGGGGGGGGGGGGGGGGGGGGGGGGGGGGGGGGGGGGGGGGGGGGGGGGGGGGGGGGGGGGGGGGGGGGGGGGGGGGGGGGGGGGGGGGGGCGCGGGGGGGGGGGGGGGGGGGGGGGGGGGGGGGGGGGGGGGGGGGGGGGGGGGGGGGGGGGGGCGGGGGGGGGGGGGGGGGGGGGGGGGGGGGGGGGGGGGGGGGGGGGGGGGCCGGGGGGGGGGGGGGGGGGGGGGGGGGGGGGCGGGGGGGGGGGGGGGGGGGGGGGGGGGGGGGGGGGGGGGGGGGGGGGGGGGGGGGGGGGGGGGGGGCGGGGGGGGGGGGGGGGGGGGGGGCCCGGGGGGGGGGGGGGGGGGGGGGGGGGGGTGCTAATGACGACGAGACATAACAATGATTCTGGAAATCAGGATGCCGATCTTTTTTCTTTTGCTCCTCAAAAATGTTTGTCTCTTTCCCTTTTTTGAATAGGGTTTTAACTTGGTTGATGCTTCGTCTACGTTTTCTTTCTTCTTATCGTTTTTCCTTTAGCTATGAGTACACAATGATCATAATTAAGAAAGAAACAGTTTTTAATCCTATAAATTAAAAAGCTAAAAGAACACTACAAATAATCCGACCATAATCACTATGCTTCTTTTTGATAGTTTTCTCCACAATGAGATAAAACACATTACTTTGAGATGAACGCACATTTAAGCAGGATAATCGAATCATTTAGGGGGGTGTTAGAATATCAGAGATCAACCACTTTACATTTCTATGTGATAAGATACATGTGCTACATCACTACTGATTTATTTTTGAGTGGCCTATTGCTTTATTAGAAAAACAATTTAAAACTAAGAAGTGATTTATTCCATAAGGAAATCCTTTCCGAACCGTCTGCTTGTTTACCATGGTCTCGCTCTCGCCCAAAATTGATTTTAAATCTCGTAGCATGCAAAGAAATTACCACCATCTTCTTCGTCATTAAAGTCAGTGCCTTTTTCGTATATACCTTAAAAAATACGATTAGCATCTGCAGAATAAGTAAGCCCTACTGTCCCATTTAATGAATTCGAATTTACGTTTTGAAACATAACTCATGCATACAAAGGCAGAACACAGACGACTCCTAGCATGATAAAAGCAAGAGAGCATTTCCAATGTCCCCTTCTGTACCTACAGAGAAATTTGAGATGTCTTACAAGCAACAAGCTATCTTTGCTAAGCTGTGAATGCGTTCAGCAACTTTCATTACAATAATTAATACTTGTCGAAACGTGTACTATAACGAGCGCTTCTTGCTCGAATCATGGTTCTGTTAAGCATCATCGCTGGAAGCAAACTCATTTAATAATTTATCAATCTCGTTGTGGAAGGCCTCGACCTATTGTCATCGTTTTAGCCTCCCCGTGACCGTTGTTTTCAACATCTACCTGGTCACATCAAAGAAGTTTAAAATGTCTTAGCATTCGGAAAGACGCTATGTAACGGGGTAGCCCGTTACATGAAATTGACACCAAACGGTGTCAATAGGAATATTGTCTAGCATGACAATATTCTACCAATATTATTAGAGATGGATGATATTGAAGGAATACTATCCCGGTAGGATTCTATTCATGCGCTGCTCCAAGATTGATATAATACATATCAACCATAGATTGCCACCAATCGCAGCTAGACGCACGCAATGAGTGGTGAGCAGGTTGTTGTCATACGACGGCGTAGTTTAAAATAGTTAGATAAAGATTAAAGTTATATTGATAGCTTAACTATATTAAATACAGTTCTCTTTTTACCTTTACTTGAACGTGTCGTTCAAGTAGATTAGCTTCCTCTGCACGCACTAGTGTACGTGAAGTTTCGTGCCACCCTAAACAAAGGGGGACCCGTTACACCTGGTAGCTCTTTGTAGTCCGTCCAGCAAATACTTAGTTTCCGTTCAACATGAACATGTTGGTCGTAGAAGACGACAAGTTTCAAGTCACACGTGAAGGCTACATCCATCTGAGTGACTTAGAATGGGATATAGTCGGGCGCTTGAGTGTGCTCATGAGCAAACCTGCCACCAGTGGCACGTTGGAGTCTCTAAGCAGAGACCAGCAACATGCTGCTATCAACAAGTTCCTACAAGAAGAACTTGCCGTCGAAATACAGAAGATAGCCTTGCTACAAAAGCAAGGCTCTAATCAGTCGATGGGCGGCCGACGCACATGCGTCGACCCGAACCTTGAAGATGGACATCTCGAGGTACAAGGGAACCGATGAAGATTCGATTTTTGAGATAGTTCGTCGAGTTAGACGACGCCATCAGGGCCGTCATATCGAGGGTGCCGAGATGCAAGTCACCTTCGTCCTGTCAGATTTGACGGGACTAGCAAAGACTTGGGCCTTAGGGCTCAAGCTTGACAACTTAAACGTGTTTGAGTCGTTAAAAATCTTAATTTCTGGGCTCAAAGATACCTTATAAGGCACCGAGAGCCAAGTTAAGAACACGCTCTGCAATCTTGAGGATCAAGCAAGGTAAGCGTGACGTGCACGCTTACGCACAACACCTACGCTACCTTGCGACTAGCGTCACGGAATACCCTGTTGATGAGCACACGCTCATCAACGTGTTCATCTACGGCCTTGTAGAGGGGCCGGTGAAGACCTACATGTTCCGATAGGACTTTTATACACTTGAAAAGGCGATAGCGTGTGCGGAACAAGAAGACTTCGGCCTGAGACAGTCTTAGGCTAACTCGTCAAACTATAGTCCGACGAGACTACAGGAAACAGGAGGTCCCGAACCGATAGACCTCTGTTACATCGAGAGCGAGAGATCTCGCTCTCTGATTCACAAGCGAACAGCAAAATGCCATCGCTATCAGAAGATCGGACACTAAGCTCATGAGTGTAGTTTATCATGTACCGCAACACGTCTAATGACAGGACGTGATGACCGCCGTTGGCCGCGGAAAGGTCCAAGGCGTGTATCGACCATGTCGATAAATCGCGACAGCAAGTCGGACCGCCAAAAACGGTCAGGGTCAGTAGGGGCGGAGCAGCTTGCTGGCCCAGCAACGTCAAGAGAATCTGCAGGACTTTTGACGAAGATTGCTCCCAACACACAGTTGCTGTGTGTTACTGCCCTTAGTTATGAGGAGTCTCTCATCACTTTAAAGATCGAAGTGACAGGTGGAATGTCTTATCGCGCCCAAGTTGACTGTGGGGCGTCGAACAGTTTTATTCGACGCCAGTAGCTAGAGGATAGTAGACTCAAACTATGTTGAGCGAAATTTCCCGCCAACGAGGATGATGGTGTGCCTTGCTACAGGCGCATCCGTAACAGTGAACAAACGTGTAGTGGGAATCCACTACGCGCTATAAGGAACGCATTACGATGGTTAATTCATCGTACTAGATTTGGATGACAAATTTGATGTCATCCTTGGTCTTCCATGGCTTAGGAAATACCAGCCATGGGTTAGCTGGCAGCATCGATCCGCGAAGATGCCTGCCGTTTGTTCATCAGATGGCAATCTGATGAACGTCTTGGAGCGCCACAAGCGTGTGGATGCACCACGAGTGGATGCGATGGCCTCACTTGTGGTACGGTCGTTAACACGATTGCATAAGATCACAGTGTAGAAGGCCACCACACTGTGGAATCAGCTTCCAGCACCTGGGTAGAGACACAGGCTGCGCCGAAGGTTCACCACTCGAAGAGATCGAGTGGACTGGAACACGGATGCACACCAAGAAGGGTGCATCCGAGAAGAGATATTAGTGTTGTTCAGGATGAACAACACGTTGAAGCGAGATCGACTATCAGATAGTCGATCGTAGAGCAAGCCCGATCGACTGAAAGAGAGTCGATCGAAGAGGACGTGACCGTGATAGTACACGTAACGGAAGAAAGTTCCAGCGTTCCTGAGAGCGGTAACTCCCGAAAAAGTTATGTAGAGGGTGTGGATCCCCAACCACCTGCGGATGTGCTTTCTCAGGAAAGAACCGAGTCAGTTAATGTCTTAGTGAATGAAGGATCAAGTACAGGCGCTTATACACTTGATCTGGTGACGCCTCCGAAGTCAGCTTCGGAGATAATTAAGTTGCCAACCCTAGAATCTAAAAGATTCTTGACAGATCTGCGTAGTGACAAGATCATGCAGATCTACGTACTCGTCACAGAGGACGAGTACGGTGCCGATTTTCGGTCGGCACAAGTGTTTGCTGAGAACAAACGGGTTCTCAGTAGCTCATCTATGGATAAGGGTGTCCTCGATGAGAAGACCCGGATCGAGCAATACACGTCTCAATCTTGGGAGTCTTTGAAGACAAATCCTTTGTATAAGGATTGGTAGAATTCAAGGATGTTTTCCATGAAACCGTGCCATGCGAGCTGCCCAAGGACAAAGGCACTCGACATGAGATCGAACTACATCCTGGTTTGAAAAACTATGTCATGAAGCATTGGCCACTGTCTCGTGAACAGATCACAGCGATCGACAAATTCTTTGCCGATCGATTAGCGGCTGGCCATGTGAGGGAATCAACATCCCCAAACAGCTCTCCGACCTTCTGTGTGCGAAAGGCTACAGGAGGGTGGCGGATAGTGCACGCGTTCAACAAGCTGAACGCTGTAACGGTACCGGCTCGAATGCCAATCCCAAGAAAGTATGTCATCATAGATGGTATGGCAAAGAGTACCATCTTTTCATCCATAGATTTGATGGATGATTTCTATAAGATCCTCATGCGTGAACGGGACATCCCGTACACAGCAGTGAGAACCCCCAGTGGTATGCTCCGGGTGCGGCTAGTGATGCCACAGGGGCTAAGTAACGCCCCCGCAACGTTCAACAGATGCATTATGAATCTGTTGCGATCGGTGCGTGATTTCGCTTTGAGTTACTTCAACGATGTTTTTATCCATGGCCGGGCTATAGATGGGAAGACGGACGTGGAGGTTCATAGAATCCACGTCCGGAAGTTTCTTACTCGAATGCGAGAGCATAAGTTGTTCGCGAGCCTCAATAAGTGTATATTCGCAGCGAACGAAATACCACTTCTTGGCTGCATCGTGGGTAAAAACGGCGCACGCCCTGATCCGGAATAGACCAAGGCGATTAGCGACTGGCCTGTGCCAGTCGACGTCAAGGGACTTCAAAAGTTCCTTGGCTTGGCAGCGTATTTGCACAAATACTCGCGCAACTATGCCGAGATGACGTACATCTCTCTCGTCTACCAAAGAAAAACGAAAGGTGGTCATGGAGCGCTGAGTGTCAGCACTGTTTTGAAGGCATCAGGAAAAGCTTGGTGCAATCGCCTGTGTTGGCGATTGCAGATTAGGAAAGGCCATTTCATGTGGTCTGTGACGCCAGCGATTTTGCAATCGGCTGCGCGCTAATGCAGTACGACTCAGACGGCGTTGAGCGCGTCTTCTGCTATCAATCGCGTCAGCTGCAAGCAGCTGAGCGTAACTACCCGGTGCATGACAAGGAACTCCTTGCCATGAAATATGTACTGGCCAGGTTTCGGGTATATCTCTTAGGAGATAGGCCCTTCATCGTTTACACTGACCATTCGTCGTTACGCACGGCCTTAAACAGTCCACACCACTTGCAACGAATGGAGAAGTGGCTGTCTTTCTTCGTGGAGTACAACTTCTCCGTCGCGTATTGACCAGGACGACTTAATGTCGTCGCTGATGCTCTTTTGCGTCGGTCCGATTTCATGCCGACTGCTCCACCCAACAGTAAGGGTGATCCCACTGTCGCGACACCATCAGTGAGTGTTCCGTCGTCGAAACTGCTCGACGAAGTGCGGAAAGAATAGGTAGAAGATAAGTCTCTTTTGTGATTGATGGATTACGTGTCTAATACATGCAGTCAAGCTTTGAAAAGCTTGACGTCTCACTACCGCTCTTCAACCGAGCGGTACTCGGTTCGTCACGGACTGCTGTACTATACAGGAATCAACGGCGACCCCCCCCACCCCCGTGTCGTCGTTCCCGCTCATAATGATTTGCGACTGCGCATCGTGTATGAGTGTCACGATGCCCCAACCAGTGGGCATCGAGGTATAGAAAAGACTTACCTCACGGTAAGTCGTGACTTCTACTGGCCCCGCCAGTATGAGTTCGTGCGCAGATACATTCGCGCTTGAGAAGTTTGCCAACGGGTGAAGCCTAGTCCTTAATCTCGCGCACCATTGCAGCCTCTACCATTTCCGGCAGAGTGTTGGCAGTCCGTATCGATGGACTCCGTCTTTGGCTTTCCCAAAGACGCTCACAAGAATACTGGTATTCTTGTTTTTGTCGATCAGTTCAGCAAGATGGTACATCTTGTTGCTGTACTGGAGTCAATCACAGCCCAGGGCTGTGCGCGTGTCTCTATCGATACAAACTTCCGAATTCACGGGTTATCCCGTGAGCTCGTGTCTGATAGGGCCCCCCTCTCCACAGTTGAATTCTGGCAATCCGTGCTCCGTTTACTTGGAATACGTTTGAAGATGCCGACTTCTGACCATCCAGAAATAGATGGTCTGACGGAACGCGTCAACTGCGTCCTCGAAGAGATACTTCAAGGGTATGTCCAGTCGTTTACGAGCTGGAGTAAGTTCTTGCCGATGGCGAAATTCGCCATCAACAGCTCGGTGCATGCGTCGACAACGCATACACCGTTCTTCGTGAATGGTCTACGTTATACAGTTTTACCCGCCTTCTTATATTGTGTCTCTAGTTTAAGGGGGGGACTCGCTCAACAAAAACCGATCTGGTTCTTGCTCATAACACGTCGACAATGATGTCGACGTGATGGATGCCGATGTCGATCACATCGACATCGATGATGATGACGACGACGATGCTGGTATATTCAGCATCGCGAAATGACTGCCACAGTGAGGACGATGACGCCCTCACTGGTGAAGACAACTTTCTTTCAGTAGTGCACACGAAGCGCACTGCTGTTGACAAGGATGAATCAGCAGAGGAAATTCTGCTGACTCGCGAAGCGGTTGTCCGCTTCGTCCAAGACTCTATTGCAGATGCAATAGACAAGCAGAAAAGAAACGCAGACAAACATGGAAGAGCAAATGTTTTTTCATTTAATGAAGAAGATCTATTTTTACTGTCTACAGTAAAACTACCAAAACACGCAGTGACAAACGTGGGCAGCAGTAAATTACTGCCCAAGTATATTAGTCCATTTCGTGTGTTGCGCCGTATGGGCAACACAAACACGATTGTTCTGCCTCGTAGGATGCGTACGCATCCTACATTT